AAAATTTCCCTCTTTTGGATGGCACACTGACAGACTAAAACAGGTTGGCATTAAGCGTGATCGTTAAAACATGTTTTCGTTGCTAAAACTGGTTTTCGGCCTAAAACTTGTGTGTTTCGTCCATGTAAAATCTGTCAACCGAAAACCAGTTTTCGTTGAAAACTCACGTTCCACTCATTCCAATCGGTATCTTCACTAGTTTTTTTTTCGAATATTTATCGGAGTGGAAGTCATATTTTATCATCTTTAATACGCCATTTCGGATTTATTGTCAATTGGCTGGCCAAAGTAAAATAAGAATGAAAGTAAGAGGTTGCATTTTGGTTTTGTTTTTGTGTAGCAACCCTAACAGCCGGTGTGAACAGCCTTCAGTCCACAATCCCAAAACTCGTTTTCAAAGTTTTGTCGTTGTCGGTCAGAACATGGTATTAGATAACATTATTCATGAAGTTCGTTGAAAAATGCTAAATACATAATATAATTTTTGTGTGTATATGTAAGGATTTACAGATCTTTGGGCAGTGCGGTTATCGAATTTTAAAATATTTGTTCCAAAAATGATATTTTCAATGGATCTTGAGCAAAAATTAGTTTTTTGTAAAATTTTTTGAAAACTAAGCGTGGTCCGCCCACTCATGTCAAATATTTGTACCTCGAAAACCATTTCACCAATCTTTACCAAATTTTATATACACATTGCACCTGACCTTCTTAAATACTGTATCTCTAGAAATTATCGCTGTTTCAAAAATTATCGCTTTTCACTTATAAAACTCTTTAAGCTATTGAGAAAAATTAATCGCACAAGAATTTAATGTTTTCTCAATGGGTTTCAAACAATTTTATGTATAATTTATTTTTATGCGTTCAATTTAAAAATTTACTTTTTTTTAGCGTTGAATCGCACGGCTCCGAAGATTTGCCCATATATGCCTGCAACGTTCCACAAAATTTTCTCTCATAGCCACACCACTGTCAGAAGATGCTCAAGAAGCTATAAATAAGGATTGCAGAAGGTATCGACTACGCAATGCTAGAAAGTGTTCGCCTGTATCTGTATCAGTGATATTGATAGTCAGATTCTCTCATAAAAAGTTTGGGAAATGTAAAAAAAAAACTTTTCAATATTTCCTGGAGAAGTACTCAAGTTACTTATCGCACCATGAATTATATATGTCATAAATTAGAAAAATGAAGAAAACGAAGAAAGTTATGAAGATTCAGAAAATGAGGAGGATGGTGGATACTATTTTTGAATACTGAGAGTGAACCTTTTAATTGCATTTACATTTTCATCTTTAAATGAGTTCTCCATATATGTAATTTTTATTTAAAATTTAAAACGTATAGTTTTCTATATCTTTCGAAATTGGTATATGTATACCAAGGCATATCAAACAGCTCCTAGCATTAGAGCAAGAACAACATTTGCATGTATTTTGTTGTTGCTTCTGGTAAAGAAAGTGTCAAAAACTGTTCTGACATTTTTCTTCTAAATTAAAGCGCGCCATGTGATACATATACATACAAAGAAAAAAAATAAAAAATTAAAAATTTAAATTCGAAAAAATAAAAGTTGTTTCCATTTTTCCTTTCTTAGTAAATTTGTTTGCTTCTCGAAGCATTGATCCATCCTTGCAAGGCACAGTAATCAGGGGGTTTTGCTGCTGAATTGGGCGAGCGTTCCAAAAGCTGCTATTCATTCGCCTGTTTTGTATGGGAAAAGGTTTCACATGGAAATAGATTTTAAAAATTTAGAATTTTTGTGAGAAGAAATTCAAATTATTTGACATTTTCGAAACCAAGTTATTTGAAAAAAATTAAAATCGGCTGCTCTACTGATACTACCTATTCAATGTGCCATGGTATATACATACATATTTATGAATTAAAACCGCTACTTTTCGAACTAAACTTTCTCTTTTTTATTTTTGAGAGAAAGTGTTAATGAAACAAAAAGTGGTTTTGATTTGAAAACCAGAAAAGAAATTTTTTTCTTTAAGCCATAAGATATTTTAAAATATATAATAAAAATATCCTTTAAATAAAATATTCTTTCTGCCTTATAGCTCTAGTATTTTAAAACGTTTACTACGAATCATAAAAATACTCTTTTTCAACATAAATAACACTTTTTGGGTCAACGGGGTATTTCCGACCCCGGTCCTAGAACATTTTTTTTTTTTCAGTTTCGACCTCATCTATCTTAAAAAACTAGTAAAATAATTTTGTCTAGCTAGCTTCCTCCAGTCGCCGCATCATCAATAAAGTGACGGTTCAACTCGTCGACGATGACGATATTCAACATAGGGCCGTATGTCTACTCTTCCTCGTTCAATTTTTTTCATCCACCCTCAAAGGCAAAAAAAAAGCTCTTCTATAGTTCGAGGGTTGTTAAAAAAAAGTACTGAATCTTTTGACAAAGAAATTTTTTATTTTTTTTTTTTCAATTTTGTATACCAGATTCACGCAGCATACGACATGCGGCAAAAGAGAAAATAAAAAACTATTCTGAGTAGCTTTTCAATAGTTCTAGAGATCCTGAAAAGAAAAATAAAAGTTCTGAAAAAAATGTTTCTCAAGAAAGTCGAAAAACACCCCTCTGTGCGTCGCTAGATATATCAAAAAATTTACATAGCCTCTTGTGTAGTAGGCATTTTGTATATATTTTCCATCTACTTACTTGTGCACTAACATTGCACAGTTCTGCTAAGTCATTCTTAAATAACACAATTAGGGTACTCACAGTTCTATATTATCTACTGTGTTAATTTTGCCACCTGGTAACTTTAAAACATTTTACCATGTGGTAACTTTGTTTGTTGTTGGTTCCCATACTAATTAGAGATAACACTTTTGGGCAAAATTACTAGACTTTGTCTCATGTTTATGTTCTGTGTTAAACTGGCATCTATCGCTGCTTGTACATACATACATGAATTTCGCTTTGGGCGCAGCGCTGCTTGTACATAAGTTTCTCTTTGCGCCTGCCTGGAGCTGGCAAAGGTTATTTTTTTTTATTTTTGCGCTGTGCTAGCTGAGTATAAAAAAGAGAAGAGAGAATAGAGAGAAATATGTATGTGGTTTGTTGATGCTCTCTAAACACAAACGCGTGAAAGGCAAACGGTCTAGCAATGCGTGGTATTGTTGATCAACTTAATACTTTATTTAAACATAAGGGTTGCTCACAGTTCGAGTGTGTTATCTTGTTAAAGTCGCCACCTTTTAACTTTAGAAGTAAACTGTGAGTACCCTAAATGTATTATAACTAATCTATTGTTTTCTTATGCTATCGGTTTTTTTTTCGGGTGTATGTCGGTGTTCAAGTGAATTACAAAACAATAAACAACAGAATGATAAGAATGAAAAGAAAAAAATGTGTTCTGCATGTTTTCACACAATCGATTATTCTTTTTGTGGTATTTTTACTGTGCATGTGTTGTGGCGTTAAGACTTAAATATTTGGTCTGTATTTTTAAGCTTATATGTACAAGTGGCAGAAAGGCTCTTACGCACGCACACACCCACACAAACACACGCTTTCGAAACATACATATGTATTGTTTACACTTACATGTGTTGAATGAGATGTTAAACTATTATACGACGGTGATGTCTTTTCGATTGTTATAAGTTTGCACTTAAGTATGTAAGTATGTACCAGCAAAAAGACAGAGAGAAAGCGAGGAAGATAGAGCATTAAAGACAACGTATTAAAAAAAAAACAGATTATGTTTTGTTACAATTTGAAAGATAAGAAGAGAGTTTAGTGAGTTTACGTTATTAAGTATTAATTAGATCACAGGAATGCTATAATAGTTAAATATTTATTAAACTCTTTCCGAGCACATTTATGGCGATCACACTTCATTAAAGCGATGCCACTTTTCTTGTCATAAAAACATTTAAAGCATTAATTAATAATAATCTATAGTAGAAGTATTCAATACCAAGAAACCAAAAGTACGCTGCAAAACCGTCTAAATGAAAACTTTAATGAATGCAATAATAATTGTTACTAATTGTTTAACAGATGCTTGCTACATACACACATTGTATAAACGATATGTTTTTCATATTTTTGTACAATGCATTTTTTTAAAGGTGCTGTAGGTGTTTCTTATTCATTCTGGCGATACCAAGTAAATCGAGGATCTATAAATTAAGACATTTCTAATTGAAATTTGTCGATATTTGCGATTAAATTTTCAAGAGAAAAAAGCTTCTTAATGCTAGAAACATATTCACTCTCATAAAACAAATTTAAGTACTTCCAGAGACATTTTGTTTTTGTTGTTACTCGAAACCACACAATAAAAAAAAATGTTTGCGGATGATCATTTGTATCTTCGTTATTTTAAGAAAATAATCTGCCTTATCCTGAGTTTCGCCTGAAAAAAAATTCACCCGAAAATTTGTCATCCGCCCATAGTAAAACCATGGAAACCGAGAGTGAAAAGTGAACCGGTTCGGGGAAAATGAAACTCTTGATAAGGCTGAACATCTATTTTAAATCGGGGAATGAGGAACTAGGTATTTAATCTGATGTTGTCATATAAAAAAACCGAATGCGGTGTTTAGATGAGGCGATTCGACATGCATCTTTTAGTTGAAAGCAACAGTCGCCTGTTGTGAACAGCCTTTCAACTAATCGCTTCCAATGAAGTTGGGGCAGCCCACTTTTGATTTGCCTGTAAAATAGCTTCATGTAAACACCGTGTAATACACCGTGCGAGGAAAAAATCAATTTACTCACGAAACTAAGGGCCTAATGTAGTAAAACTCCCATATCAGTTCTTCGCTCCGACGTCAGGATTTTTTGTAAAAGGACTTTGAGATTTCCAAGATGTGATTAATTCGAAAAAATATTTTAAAAAATTCAGTGCAAAATGAAAAAAAAAATTAAGATTAAAAAAAATCCGTTCGAAAGGACGAATAGGTATTGAAAATGGTCTTTTAATTATTATTTTTTAACCTAATAAAGTTAAAAGGACGAAATTCGACGATGTCAACTTGTGTATACTAGACTTGAACATACAATTTTTTGAAAAATAAATTTTCAAGGATATTCAAGGGTAAAATTTTAATAGGCAATTTTCCGCACCTTTTGGTCCTTATGCACAAAAAAAAATATTATTTCTCAATTGTACATAATTTTCTCTTTAAATATATTGTCATTCTACATTGTACTGAATTGCTTAAATAATTTTTTTTTTAAATAATCATATTTTTGAAATTTCAAAGTCCTTTCAAAAATCCTCACATTAGAGGGAAAAACTAAAAACTCTGTTATAGTATATTTGGCCCCTAGCTTCGCGAAACCCTCTTCTATGAGCTCTTCGAGAGCGCTTACGAAGACTGACACCATCGCGATATAAAGGTCGTGATAAGCGATGCCAAAGGTAGGGTAGGCAAAATAGGGGTATCCACGACGAAACATAACACGATAACACAGTGGCAGGCTGATCGACTTCATCGCGTCCGAACGTGGACCAACTCATAAACCATGCACATAAACGAAAAGTTATCATATGCAAGCAGGACCGCATCTCCCAATCGCTGCGTATCGCTGCCGAAGGAGTAGTCGAATTCCAGCGAGCTAAATATGTATGTGGGATTGATATAGAGAGCTGAAGAGCGGCTAAATATTTGAGTGTGGAGATTTTCCGATAGTTCTATCAAAATGTAAGGCGTCTTATGAAAGGTTGAAAAACACTTTTCCATTCTGCTAAAGGCCACTGAAACCAATATGGAAGTCGAGGAAGACAGAATCGATGTATCACCACCCGGCTATGCCGAGGTAACAATAGTAATTTCTCGGCTGGAAAACAACAAACCTGCAGGAGTTGACGGCCTGCCAGCCGAGCTATTCAAGTACGGCGGAGAGGAGCTGATAAGGTGCATGCATAAACTCGCATGCAGAATATGGTCAGGTGAACGCATGCCCGACGACTGGAATTTAAGTATGCTCTGTGAAATCCACAAGAAAGGCAACCCCGCCATACGAGCCAACTAACGCGGGACGATTGTGTTAAAGACTGAATCTCACCGTCAACAAATTTATTGGGCATCAGTGTGGCTTTAGACCTAGCAAATCCACCATAGACCAGGTATCCACAATACGCTAAATCTTAAAAAAGACCCGCGAGAAAAGGAGTTGCCTATTTGTCACGATGTCTGAATTTGGTATCCACGCGAAACTGATACGGATGTGTAAAATTACGTTTAGCCTTTGCTACCAAACGGGGTTTAAGACAGGGAGACACCCTTTCATACGATTTCTTTAATCTGATGTTGGAGAGGAAAATAAGCGCTGTAGAAGTGAACAGCTCAGGCACAATACTTCACAACAGCGTTCGATAGGAACCGCGAAGTCTGTTCTGCCTTTTCCCAAGATAGATAAGGTCTGGTGGTACAAGACCAAGTATCTCCTGTCATCAAACAAACAATTAGCACATTCGCGCCCTGGTGATAGTTACAATTCCGAGAAGGTAGAGAATTCCGTCTACTCGGGAACCAGCACCGATAATAATGTCACTGTCGACAACGCAGAATCGCTGTTGCCAGCAAGTGCTACTTTGGGCAATTTCAGAAGTAAAGGCCTCTCTCGACGTACGAAAGCCACACTCCATAAGTCACTCCTCATGCCTATGTTGGTATATGGCGCAAAGGCATGGTCAGTGACAACATCCGGTGAGGCGGATCTTGGAGTATTCAAGAGAAAGATCTTGCAGAAGATTTACTTGCCTTTACGGGTTGGCGAGGGCGACTAGCGCAGACGATGGAACGATGAGCTGTATGAACTTTACAACGACATACAGTGACATAGTGCAGCTAATTAAAATACAGTGGCTCCGCTGGCTTGACCATGTCGTTCGAATGGGCACCGATGCTCCAGCTCTGAAAGTATTCAACACGGAATCCGATGGTGATAGCAGAGCATATGGAGAGACCAAGAATCGTTGCATAAAAAATTTACTACGCGTCTAAAGCTAAACGACCGTGCAGATTGCTTAACGGAAAAAGCTCCCACGTAACATGCCAAAAACAAGTAACTTGTCTTTTGTAAAGTGAAAAAAACTAAGATTTTGGGTAGCAAATTTGTATTTGAAGTTTCCTGTATGCTGCTGCTAAAAAGACAACAGATAGAACAAAAAATTGATAGAAGTGCCTAAAAGAATGATTTATCAAGTATTCGGAAATATTGAGTACATACAACAAAAGCAACCAATTACTTGTCTTTGTCGTGTCACGGGAGTGCTGTGTTACGATAAAGTTATAAAATAAAAAGATTATACGATTTACTTAAAAAAATATAAATATATATACATATCTATGTATATATTTTGAATATAGAGCTTTAGGCACTGAAATACACACACGCTCTCCTACAAGCTTTCAAAGCCATCGTGTGGCAATATCAATGGGAAGACCAGTTACCAGAAACAATATCTATGTAGGCGCGACTGCTAACACCGGGCGCCTACATGCCTGCTATGTACGGCTGCATGTGCAGAAATTTCCTTTATGCAATTTATGAAATTTCTGCACGTGGACTTCTCAACTGCCATGTAATTTAACTTTCTTACATACATACTGGTCTTCCCTCTAACTCAGTTATTCACTATCAATCGAACTAAAATCGGTCTTTTTTAAAGCGAAAACTTTTTACTTAAAATTATTTAAATATACAACAATAAAAACCCAACAAAATAATAAACATTTTAGCAACCAATTCAAAAATATATTTACAAAATATAAATACCATTTAGCAGCCAATTAGCACAAAATACAAACAAAACGAAAGTCTAAGTAATGAGCAGCAGAACCATACCATAATTTTAACATCTTAAGCAGCATATTACTGTATTTCGGTACTGTTAGTAATATTGGTGTTTTGGCAATATTAATATAAGTATTTTTGATGTGAATATGTTATCGAATATGATTATGAATATATAATGGAAAAGGAAAATATCTTACATATATGTATGTATGTGATAATAAAAGGTATATATAATAATAGGAAAACAGGGCAATGAAACGCTGACACTGATTACTACATACAAATTTATGTATGTACATATGTATACCCACATACGAATTTAAAAAGTATGCCCATTAGACTGGCTCGCGAAAAAAAGTTTACAATATAAAAGAAACCAAAATCATTTTCGTTCATTTTTATTTAAAATGTACCTCAAAACCATATAAATCAATGATGCAAACTTTCTACGAAACTTGCAAAAATTTAGCGAATTTAAAAAAATACTACCGAAATTTCAAAGTTTTTAGTCAGATTTTCTTAAGAATTATAACTAGTAACTTTTGAGCTAAAAACTAAGCCGAGTTCAGTTCTCCTAAAAAAATTTAATGGTTAATTTCTTCATCATCCAATGATCGGATCTGGACCAAATTAGTATGGGCCCAGCTGTTTTATTACAGAAATCGGTTAATGTGGTCCTCCACCGTTTTTTGAAGTCGGTTAAAAATAAACTTTTTTCATGCGTGAATTGGGGGAGAACCGGCAATATCGCCAGCAAAAAACAGTCAAAAGTCAAGGCACTTAAAACTTTCACTTTTGCCAGTTTACGAATTCCGTTGAAAATATGTAATATTGATTTATATGGTTTTTGTTAT